CATTCAGGCAGGTGACCGGGTTCTTTTTGGGAAGAGGGACAATGGTTGTGGTCTTAAAGCAGGTGGGAACGATGCCCTGGCTAAGGGAGAGGTTGAAGATGGTGGTGAGAACATCAGCCAGCTCATTGGCACATGCTCTGAGAGCCCTCCCAGGGATGGTGTCTGGTCCAGCTGCTTTGCAGGGATTGATCTTTCTCAGGGCTTTGTGTACGTGGCCTGATGAGACAGTTAGTGGAGGGGAGGTTGGGTGGTCCCGGTGTGTGTGTGCCTCTTCTCTGTGCTGTGGCTGAAGGTCTCAAAGTGGGTGTAGAAGGTGTTGAAGTCATCCGGGAGGCTGTCTGTGGAGCTGATGATGCTGGTGGTGGTCCTGTAGTCTGTGATGTGCTGCAGGCCTTACCACATTCATCCAGAGTCAGCAGTAGAATAGAAGTCACTCAGCTTCTCTCTGTACTGCCTCTTGGCCGTTGTGATGGCTTTCCTCAGTCTGTACTTCACAACTTTGTACTCCATCACGTAACCTGAACTGAATGTAAGAGAGCGAGCACGCAGCCTGTACCTGACTGTTTATCTAGGGCTTCTGGTTGGAGAACTTCCTGACTTGTATGGTGGGCACAATGTTGTCAACACAGGTGCTAATGTACCTAGTCACATACTCAGCATAGTTCTGTATGCTGACAGAAAAGTCCTCCAAGGTGGCTGCAGCTTTATACACATCCCAGTCTGGGCCGGGCAAAACAATCCTGCAGGGTGCTCTCAGTTTCTAGGGTCCAGAGTTTAACTTGTTTGGTGACAGGGTGTGCTTGTTTCAGTCTTTGTCTGTAGGCCAGATACAAGAACAAAGAAATGTGGTTGTGGAGTGTCTGAAGTGGGGTCAGGGTGCACCCCTATATGCAGCCCGTATATTACTGTGAACATGGTCTAGTGTGTTCTTATCACGGGTGGGAATGTTCACATGTTGGTAATATTTGGGAAATACAGTCCGTAGATTTAAAGTCACTGGCGGCAATAAACACAGGTCTCAAAGTGGGTGTAGAATGAGCTGTCTCTAACATGCTGATGACGTCATGGAGTTTGCTAAGAGCAGTCGTGTAATTAGCTCATGAGGCTATGTACATGTATTACTATTGTATTGATGACTGTTAGAACTGCTTGTTTGTCTGTTAAAAGAATGTGTCTGCAGGAAGACTGCACCTTGAAGTTTACCAAATGTCCGGTATTTACTGTTCATTTGTTAGGGCTTGTGTATGCAGGATGCTTGCCCTTTTAAGTTGGCTAAATGTTTGGTACCTACTGTTCGTTTATTAGGGTTTTACGGACAGGATGTCTGCTCTTTTAATATGCCCAGATGTTCGTGTTTCTGTTAGCTGCCGTCTGAACTTACAACATACACACATCATTTGATTTGCATACAGTATTTAGTAGCTAACATGAGCAGAGGCTGACTTGCTCACGCCTATGGCCAATAGCATTAGGATACCTGAAAATCCAACCTTTGTCCAGGGCAGTTGCCGCCCATGAAGATAAATGGAACTACAGACAATGGTCCGATGCTCTTTGATGACGGAGTTCCTGCGGAAGCTCTGATTCTCTGAGCCCAGCACTGTGTAACTTGACATGTGACTAAACTTCGAATAAATTTCTGTTGATTTTATACAGTCCTCTTCTGTTTTCACTTCTCGGGCTTTCAATTAAAGAACTGGGTCTAACACTTGGTAGATAATAATGCCGGCATTTCAGCAATAGAAACTCCACATCTGGCGAACAGTGCTTATAAACAGTCCGTATATCTCCACACCACGAGTTGTTGATAAACACACACACACACACACGTCCCCCTTTGGCCTTACTGGAGGCTGCAGTCCAGTGTATAGAGTGAGTCTGTAGCTGAACGGCGGATTCTGGGACTTTGTCTGAAAGCCAAGTCTCAGTGAAAATTAGAGCACAGGTTCCTCTTGCTGCTCTTGCGTCTCCGTCTTCGAAGTGCTCTCCTGGTGTCAGCCTGCAAATCAAACTCAGTGCTTTGGGGCCTTCCTGGGGGTGGTGGTGGTTACTGCGGGAGTGAACAATGAGTTGTAGCTCCGGTGGTGTTTGATTGACTTGCTGTGACTCTTCCTCGTTGATAAATAGCTGATCAAAAGGGTGATAGCTGAGATGTCCAGTGGAGCTCTGCTGGCTAATGACTGTCCGGTCCAATTTACTGTCAGTGCTCTGCCCTTTGGAGGAGCTGGTGAGCATGTGAATCTGAAATCTAAAACCCACCTACAGTGGGCTGTAGTTGTGGCTGACTTATGCTTATCCTTCCATGCCTTCATCAGGTAACAGTGGTATGGGCTGCTACCATGACCGGCATGGCTTTGATCAGCTCAGCCACCTGCACTGCTGTCTGATCAGGCACCTGAAGATGGAGGGTGTGAACTGCCCAGAAATTGGGC